TGATCAGATCACTGATATGGAAATCACTAACAAATGTACGAGATGACACAGCAGACTGCCACATGATGGATCAGAAGTCTAATGCTGGGCTGAAAAATGAGTCTGTGTATGCTTGTATTGTAACCATTTGACCAGGGTCCTTAAAACCACACAAAGCACTCTGCTATGGTTGCATTAGGGCTCATATCTCATAACCATTACTGTCTGCACCACCTCTTCAGTGATGATCATTGTGATGTTGCATTGTCTTACATTTCTTTCTTATACAGCAGGAAACACAATTGCACATACTAGAGTGGATATATCGACGGTATACGATTGAATGATGCTCCGGAGCATTGGGGTAGCCCTTGGTTGCTTTCAACTGTAGGTTTCCTTTAACGCGTAAGCACTACTGGCACTCATGCCACTTTGACATGAAGACATTGTGACAGAGCTGTTAAACCTCACACCGTGCAGAGGAGGGACAAAAATAAATGCACCATTTACTGTCCACTATACAAGCCTCCAGACTACAGTTGCTTCCAGAGCTCAGCGACCTCCTTTTGAAAGCTGCCTCTTCTCTGGATACAGTGCATGTACAAACTCTGACTATAGGTCACACAGCATTATGCAAGCCTTACATTTGAACAGCACCAGTGTATATTCAGGTTTTACAACACTACAGCATCGTATAATGTTGATGGCCAAACCTCAGTAGCAGGTCACCATAAATCACATCATCAGTTTAAAACACTTTGATCCCATTCATCAGCATAGATGATGTAACCTTCAGTTACATGGAAGTGGATCAGTAGGTGAAAAGAGACTTTTATGGATTCAGAACAGAAATGTCTGCTTGTTTTTTACCAGCATATGAAGGGTGTTCTCGTAGTGGAAGAAAAAACAGAAGCAGACTTAAATCACTTGAAGATGTTTAATGTGGAAACACATTAAAAAATCTTAATCAATAGCTTGTTGTACTCAAAAGTGCGATTGTTTTCTTAAATCCATATAAAATGCATGCTGGTCAAAGTAATTTAGTTTGTAATTTGCAAGAAGTAGGCTTGTTAATGTTATTTTGGTGAACTGATACATTATTTGATTGGATGTTTTGCCTATTAAGAGACACGGCCACTTTCCTAGAGCCTAACGGGGGTTTAAAAGGCTTATTATATCAGGTCAACTGTTCCAAATAAATTTGAGATGCATGTTAGAAAGTGAGTCTATGATTTGTGTGCATGCGTATGTAAAATTAGAATTAAATGAGCGTTAAATTATCATTGACTGTTCTGTAATCACAAGAAAAACTGATGTCAACATTTCTATTAGTGGAGAAAAGTCTCTGTGTTGTATTAGTAACAGGACAGAAGGAGCACGATGAGGAGTTGATGCATGGGCTGTGGAGAAGTGTTGGGTCAGAAGGTCTACAAAGGGGAACTGAAAGGAGAGAGTAGGAGTCATTAGTTGACCTTTAATACCAAACAGTTAGAGCAGCAGGTTAAACATCAAGAACTCTCACACACTGCCACCTCATCACTGGCAGCGTCAGAGCCGTCCACAACTCACAAAGACAAAAACATATCTGTTACACTCAGCAAGAATCATTTAATCCTGCATCTGTCAACAAACTGGGCTGTAAAATCAGAGCAGAAGTGAAAGCTTGCTGGTATAACGGTGACCAAAATGACAAATGAAGCCAACCACAAAAGCAGAATCAACTATAAGAATCTTTATTCAAGCTGCTCTGTGAAGACGTTTTCAACGGGGTCAGCTCGTTCATGGGCTCAAGGGTTGGTCAATAAATAAAGCATGTGGGAAATGTTTTGCCTGAGCACACATGCACCAAGGCCATCTGCATATTTTAATTCCCCCCTGTCTGGTGCTGATGTGTAAAGTACAAAGTCTGCGACACATGTGCTGTGTGTCACACAGGCCTGCATGGCTGCAGCTGCTGGTGTGTGAGTGGTTTTTACCACCATAGTGAACTGTTATCAGTTTAAACAGCCTGTAACGTCCAAATGTAGTATCTGAGAAATTCTTTTATTGATTAATTTGACTTAAAATTGAGATTTGTCACTAGGAAATCAACTAAATGAGAAGATTGTTTTCAGGGCTGCAGTGAATTGCTTCGTGTTGGATCAGTAATTATATTACTTTGTTTAAGAGCTTAAAAAATATCAGCCTCCAGCTCATCTCTTATGCTTTTTGTTACCTTATCAACAGGATCATTTGTTTTATCTGTGTTCGGTTCAAAGTGCAGCATTTATTGTTGTTTTTCTGCTTGGATAAAAGATGATGATCTCAAGGCCATGTTAAAGGAGTGCAAATGGTAAAGTGGTCATCTAACTCTTCTTCTTTTCTTTTTTTCCCCTTTTTGTCACATTTCTGCTCCCCAGCAGGAAGTGGAGAACTTCAAGAAGCTGAACGTCATCAGTAAAGATGAGTTCGACACTCTCACCCCCAAAGCGCCCGTTGACCCAAACCAGGAAGTTCCATCTCTTCCCATGCCAGGTGGGGTTTGTAGAGTTGTGGTGAAGCAGGTTTCATATGAGCGAGCATCCTGTGTGCTACCTTCTGCAGTTTAAACCACACCCCTCTCACACTGCGGTGCTAGTGTAGGATGTCATTTTAATTGTATTATGGGCTTTTTTTGAGCATTGTAGACATAGAGATGGTAGATGTTCAGATAATTACCTGACAGTAAATATAAATTGATAACTTTTTGGGGGAATGATGGGCTTCACAGCAGACAGTGGAGCAGAGTTGGCTCGTTCGGTGCCCACAACGGTCCCACAGTCGCCCAGAGCTCACCAACCCCGGACCCCTAGAACCCCTCGCACCCCCGGACGCCAGGACCCCAACAAGACCCCACGTTTCTACCCCGTGATGAAGGAGACCGGCACCATCGATGGACAGGTAAGCTCTCTGTGTCCGTACATACAAGGAGTAGCAAAGCTCCTCTTTATCTGCCAGACTACAGATCAACAGATGGATTGATGTCTGTCAGCAGGCCTGCTGGTGAAACTTTTCCTTTCCCTTGTTTGTTTGTTTGTTTGTTTGTTTGTCCTAACTCTTTTTTTTCACATGTGCATAACAGTAAGAGTGTGGCCACTCCTACAAATACAAACAGTGGCTGCCGGTTTTCTATTTGTGGTATCACATTGGTTTAAAAGATCAAATATGTAAATACTGAATGAATATATCATTCCTGAAACATACAAAGTAAACTAAAAATGTCAGGCAGCACAGCCGCCCTGTGCCTCATTTAACCAGTGTCCTGTCCTGATGTTTGTTCCAGACGCCCAGGAAGAAGAAGACGAGCCACAGTTCGAACCCTCCCCAGGAGGCTCACATAGGCTGGGTGATGGACTCTCGCGAACACCGACCGCGCTCTGCGTCCATCAGGTCTGACTTTTTCATTTGAGTGTAATTTGGTTTTTTGCTCATTTGGCCGACGGACCAGTTAGCATCCCAATACACGATCGCTGCTCCTCCTACGGTCAGAGTTGAGTCAAACGTGGGGTGGCTGTGGCTCAGGTGGTAGAGCAGATCAGCTACTGATCGGAAGGTTGGTGGTTCGATCCTTGGCTTCCCCAGTCTGCATGCCAAATATCCTTGGGCAAGATACTAACCCCAAGTTGCCCTCCGATGCATTCATCGGAGTATGAATTTGTGTGAATGTAGTTTAGTGGCATGTTGTATACAGCGCTTTGAGTACTCCGGGAGAGTAGAAAAGCGCTATATAAGAATCAGTCAATTTACCATTTACAATCGCCACCTGATGGGTCTCCAGGTCAAAGTCACATTTGTTGTTTTGTGGGAATTAAATAGAGAAGTGTTTCATGAGCCGGATGAGCTACCATGTCAGTGACATTTTCTTTTTTATGGCTGCATTGATGGTGTCTCACAGGTAACGAGCAAAAAGTAGAACCAACAAGGAGCGCTTCCTCATTTCGCCCTGCCAGTCATTCTCCATTATATGTCAAGCAGTTGTTCTGCTTGACATATAATCCTTTTTATGAAAAGAAGTTGGTGCTAATGTGATTTACACAAAGCTTTTTAAGAAATCAACTTTTGGTGGGGAATGTTCGAGCCTAATTCCACACTTTGTTTTGGGGGTTTTGTTGTCATTGGCTCATTATCACTTCAAACAGAAATGAGACAAAAATCTGCCTTTTTGTTTTGTTAGTCTGTATTTGTTTTAGTAAGGCTTATCTAATAAACTGGCAACTAAATGTTTCCCTGTTGCCTCTCAAACATCTTTTTTTCCTCCATCCTTCCACAGCAGCTCCAATGCCTCTCCATCAGAAGGAGCCCCGCTATCAGGAAGTTACGGCTGTACCCCTCAGTCATTGCCCAAATTTTGGCATCCATCCCATGAGCTGCTGAGGGACAATGGCTTCACTCAACAGGGATATCACAAGTACCGCCGACGGTGCCTTAATGGTACAGAGACCTCTAAAAACCTCCACAAATACTGCTTCTAAGTACTCCTCAGCTCTAGTACACCATCACGTACTCAGAGCTTTGAGAAAGAAGTACTGAAAACAAGATGAAATGGTCACCTTCTCTGTTTCCTGTTCTTGAATTTTTCCCTTCAGAGCGAAAACGGTTGGGGATCGGCCAATCTCAGGAGATGAACACTCTGTTCAGGTTCTGGTCCTTCTTCCTCAGGGACAACTTCAACAGGAAGATGTATGAGGAGTTCAAACAGTATGCTGTAGAAGATGCCAAAGACAACTACAGGTGAGGCGGACATTTAAATCCTGAGCTCTGTGTCTGTGCCCTAGGGATAAGAAGTAAATGTCATTCATTAATGAAGCCTGCAGAGAAGCAAACAGCAAACACAGACTGCTTTGTTTGTGTCACTTATCCACAAATACAACCACACCCTAAAAAACGCCCTGAAGCGTTTTTTGTGTTTGTGTCTCACATGATAGTGACTCTGGAATAACAAGCCACTTCCACAGATTGAAAGATTTATTGATGTTATTCAAGAATTGAAGCGCCTGCAGGTTTAAGCAGTGTCATTGTTCGATAGCATGAGGTTAAAGGTGAACACTGCTTCTGTTGTGACTCTAAAGGGCTTTTTATACACCAGTCAAACCTAAATTCTTGTTTAAAGACGTGGGTAGCTCAGCCGTGACTGTTGAAGTGAAAGTGCCTGTAGTGTAAGGGTGTAGCAGCCTCAATGTCTCTTCCTACTGGAGCTCACCCTGTCTGAACCAGAAACCAGTATACTTGTCTGTCTGGTTCCTCTGACAGCTGTAAATAATCCACGAGAGAATGGAATCCATTGTTGTGAACAAGGTTATTATCGTTAACGAAAACTAACGAAATAACAAAAACTAGAAGTGAAAAAACATTTTCGTTAATGGAAATAAAAATAAAAACAAAAAAAGGAAAACTAACTAAAACTGGAATGAGTGTTCGCAAAACTAACTAAAATTAACTGAATTTATAGCAAAAA